GCTAATCAGAAGTTGGCATTCCTGTTTTTATTCGGCCAAATTTCTCGAGTAAAAAGTTTACAAAGAGAACGCCATTTTGTTTTGTGCTCTCTTAAATTGGGTTCAATGTGTTACCAGTTTTTGGGTTCAGGAACGGGTTTCGAGTAAAATTAGTAGATTCTTTTAGGTTCTGGAACGGAACTAATACTATAAGTTAGATTTTAGATTTTTTCCACTAATTTTATGTCAATAAAAAGTATTAACTGGTATCCCAATGCAGGCCCAAGCACATAACAAATGTTTTTTGTTTTGTTATTGCTCCAACGTTTTTTCATTATCTTATTTGTCCCTTCTTGAAGGATTCTTAATTACAATGACATTTTGTTCATTTCCAACTGTCCTTTTGATTTTTATATTAAAATCAGTATATACTCGAAAAATTTTAGATTTGGCATAGAAATTTAGTGGTTTTCACTCAGTTATAGGTATATTTCATTTTTAAATAAATTGTTAAATAGTTTTCAGATTGCCGTTATAGATTTGTATATGTTTGCTATATATTTTATAAACAGTTTTTGACAGTTATGGGAGAAGAGTTTGGCCAATGTTGACGAAGTAGACCGTCTTTTAATTGTAAATGCCTATTTTATATCTTAACTCTAAATCGTGAAATGTTGTAATCGGATTTGCTATATCCTCACATTTTTATTTATTATTTGATTTTAATTTAACATTTGAGTAAGTTGCTGTTTAATCCTTTATGGCCCAATGTTCTAGAGCTTTTATTTAATACGCGGCAAGTAAATGTATATTTTTGGATTTGGAATTTGGAAAATTCAGACCATATTCCCATCCTGGTCACGGTAGAGAAACCCAGCGATTTCGTAGAGCCCGATCAGCGTACTTTTATGAATTATAATTAGACCTCGGATTTTGGATATTTGCATATTTTTTAATAATGAAGATATCGAAATTCTGATTGGACACAAATTCGTTTCAAAGGATTTAGAATTATTTGAAGGGTTCATATTTTTTAATTTTTTGCATATTTGCATATGCACGAGATATGCAAAAAATATGCAAAAAATGCAAAAAATATGCAAAATATGCTTGCGACGTAGCATACCGTGCATATATTTTGCATATGTTTGCTTATTTTTGCATATGTTTGCTTATTTTTGCATATATTTTGCATATATTTTGCGTATTTTTGCATATTTTGCATATGTTTGCATATTTTGCATATGTTTGCATATTTTGCATATTTTGCATATATTTTGAATATTTTGCATTTTTTGCATATTTTTGCATATGTTTGCATATATTTTGCATATTTTGCATATGTTTGCATATTTTTGCATATTTTGCATATTATTGCATATTTTTGCATTTTTTGCATATTTTGCATATTTTGCATTTATTTTGCATATTTTGCATATGTTTGCATATATTTTGCATATTTTGTATATTTTTGCATATTTTGCATATTTTTGCATATCTATATATATATAAATTTTGTATATTTTTGCATATTTTGCATATTTTGTATATTTTGCATATTTTTGCATATTTTGCATATTTTGTATATTTTTGCATATTTTGCATATTTTTGCATATTTTTGCATATTTTGCATATCGACAATGCATATTTTGTATATTTTTTGCATATATTTATCGCATATCGACCTAGCATACCGTGCATATTTTGCATATTTTTTGCATATTTTGCATGTTTTTTGCATATTTTGCATATTTTTTGCATATTTTTGACATGACCCCAAATATCGATCAATTAAAGCATGAAACGCCTAAATACAAAATTTGAGTCCAATCGGATAAAGCATAAAAAATATGCAAAAATCCGAGGTCTAATTATAATAAAGCCAACTGGCACGGCTCCACAAAATTCATTGAGGACTCCTTAAGTCCTATGCCGCCACCCGTATGTGCCAGAAAGGGTGAGAAGATTTTCCGAGAAATTATTCAAAAAGCGGCTAAACGCTTTATTCCTGCGGGTAGAATTCCTCTAATGAGACCAAATTATCCATCCAGGGCATCCAGATTGGCACAGCAACGCGACCAACTCCGTGCCGAAAGCCCCGCTGACGACAGAATTCCGCAGCTTAGCGCTGAAATAGATGCTCTAGTCCTTGAGCACAGGCGCTCTAAATGGTTAGAACACCTTAACCACTGCAACATAAATTCCAAGCAGCTATGGTCCACAATTAAGAGTCTATCTGGTTCCGAAAGGAATAAAAATCTCCCTGCTATTTCCTTCGATAACATTCAACATTCCGATGCTAAAAAATGTGCAATGCTGTTCTGCCGCCAATTCATTGAGCGTCCATCTTCGCAGAACAGGACCAAGCGAGCAGTTATCCGGAGATCCAAGAATCTTAAAAGAGACTTGCAGCCACTATCATTTACATCCAGCGAGGTAGAGGCAATTATCTCCAAATCCAAACCATCCAAAGCCCTTGGTCCAGACGGCATATCCATGTTCATGTTAAAGAAGCTTGGAGCAATAGGGCTGGGCTATCTGACCAAAGTCCTCGAGTTATCGATGTCACAGTTGGTAATTCCTGACATTTGGAAAGTTGCCCGGATTATTCCAATCCTAAAACCTGATAAATCCGCTACTAATGGGGAATCCTACCGCCCGATTTCTCTGCTGTCACCAGTAGCCAAGGTTTTGGAGTCTCTATTGCTTCCGTCCCTGAAACAGCATTTCGTCCTTGCTCCCCACCAACACGGTTTCAGGGAATCATATAGCACAACAACGGCTTTGCAAGAAATGACTTCCAAGATTGCTAATGGCCTCAATCAGCGACGACCACCTGAACGGACCATTGTGGCAGCTCTAGATCTGTCCAAGGCGTTTGATACGGTCGATCTACTACCTTAATGGGCGGCAGGCCTTCGTTGAGTTCCGTGGCCAAAAATCCAAATATCGCAAGATCAAAATGGGAGTACCGCAAGGCGGTGTCCTTTCTCCCATTTTGTTCAACATGTATCTTGCGAAACTCCCCATTCCCCCACCAGATGTTTCAGTGGTGTCGTACGCCGATGACTGTTCGATTATTTCGTCCGGCGTTAACATTGACGACGTAAGTGCAAGAATTACCAACTATCTAGCCACCATCACCAACTTCTTCCGGGAGCGCAATCTAAAATTATCCACTGCAAAGTCTACCGTGTCACTTTTCACTTCCTGGACGCGAGAAGTCAATCTAGAACTTGACATTTCCGTTGAAGGTAGGCGCATCCCCACCGTCCATAATCCGAAAATCCTTGGGGTGGTCTTCGATAGCCTCCTTCATTTCTCCTCGCATTCCAATTACATCAACCAGAAGGTGAAAGCTAGGAATAAAGTTCAGAAAGCTTTGGCTGGCACCTCCTGGGGCAAGGATAAAGAAACGCTGGTAACGACTTATAAGGCTATAGGTCGTTCCATCCTGAATTATGCTGCCCCAGTCTGGACTTCTTTCCTTAGCGACACACAATGGAGATCATTGCAAACTTCCCAAAATAATGCACTCCGAATTGCAACCGGGTGTGTCCAGATGACGAGCGTCGATCACCTCCATGAGGAGACCAGGATGCTGTCAGTCAAGCAACATAATGTGTTGTTGACTAGACAGTTCCTGCTGGCATGCTATCTGCCGTGTCATCCTAACCATCACACTGTGATGGCAGATCCACCTCCGCGTCACATCCGCCAGGACTTCAGGCGCTATCGTGATGACATCCAAGACGTCATTCCATCGGACGTCAACAGATTGTCGATAGCGAACGCGATGAAATCCGTGCATCAACTGGCGGTCTCCGATGCCATAAATGGCTACAGATGCAATAAAGTCCTACAACAACATCCTCCTGCAATTTCGGAAAGTGAGAGGCTTCTTCCTAGGCAAACCCGTTCAATTCTGGCACAACTAAGGTCCGGATACAGCAATGTACTCAACTCGTATCGAGAGCGCATTGTCCCCGGAACCCTAAACAGGTGTCCCTCCTGCCAGCAAAGCCCTCACGACACACACCATTTATTCAATTGTCCGTCCGAGCCTACGAGTCTATTGCCCATAGACTTATGGCTAAAGCCATTAGAGGTGGCACAATTTCACCGGCTACCCTCTTCAAATCCGAATTCCTAATTAATTAATATATTTTCCTTTTCCTTCTTCCGTTTTCTTCTATCAACATTTTCAGGAAAGAACTTTCGTCAACAGCCAACCTGTTACAACAACAACAAATATTTTACAAAAACAGGATTGTTGTTAAAGAAATTAATTTGTCATGCTGAAAATTAGTTTTTTTTTGACAAAAATAAACAAAAACAGTTATTAATGTACTTTTGTTAATTTTTGTCAAGAACTATTCTTTCAGGGATAATTAATGAAATTGTGTATTCTTGTGTTGTTGGCGTTTTTAGGTCAGTGAACAAACAAGGTTTAAAACCCGGTCGCGACTAATTTTCCAACATGCGGTACTTGGCTCCTTGTGAAGTTGTTTATGTTGTAAACTGCAGTCTATTTTTTTCGAAGAAGTGGCTTCAAACCTTGCCTGCTCAAAGACTAAATCAAGGAAATTGTGTTGTCATATGAATATTTAACCTCCGCAGAGTTTTTGACAAACACAAACGGGCCAATACCAATATAGGCTACGTAACTAATATATGCCCTGACTGACCTCACACAAAGAACTTCTATGAGGCCTTCTTTAATTAATGCGATTTTTAGCTGATGTTGGTGTAACTGCCCCGACACCTCAGTCTCATAGGACCAAGAACCGTTCCAAACACTTTTATATTTACTATAGACTTTAAACTGTAAATATTGAAAGTGTAAAATATTAATCCGTACAACATAGAAAACATGAAGACTGTGTGTTGTTATGTTACTTTAATTAATATGCTTAATATTATGTATAAATACATATGTAGAAAGATTATTATAATATTTTCATTCCTTTTGTGATTTGTAATAGCATAAATTTTAATGTTGAAATTTGTATTTAATAGATATGGCGCCGGACATTACACAGTTCAATAATACACGCCGGGCAGCAGATCGAGTAACGCGTTACGTTAATATATCGCAGACAGACCTTAGTGAAGACGGAAATGGGAAATGGAAAGTTTCAGCGAAAATTCAACAACTTCTGAACACATTGAAACGGCCTAAACGACGACCACTTCCAGAATTTTATGAGGATAACGATATTGAACTGGAAATAGCTGCAAATCCAAAAGATCCAAATGCTCCCAAACCAGAAGGTAGCACGATGACGGCTGTACAAGGGGAACAACTATCTGTATCAGCTAGTTTGCCTAGATCATTAGAAGCTGCCGTTCAACGTTATGGCACGAATTCATTCAAATCGTCAATGGCCACTGTAGTCGATCCTAATGGTAAAATAACGACTACATTGTCGTATGGAAAGTTATTGTCCAGAGCCCAGAAAATTGCATATGCATTATCAACAAAAATATTTAGCAAAGGTCCAGAGCAGGTCACCTTAAAACCAGGAGATCGGGTTGCTTTAGTGTATCCTAACAATGACCCACTGAGGTACGTTTCAATGACTATTCAAATTAAATATTGGGTTAACGTTACAATAAATAACAAATAAACAAGACAGACTCAAACAATAATTACATAACACAATCGATAGAACAGAAAGCGTATTTGGAGGATTACATATCCTCAGAGCTCAGTGGTAGTTGGGTAGGTATCATATGGTCAGCCCCGTCCGACTATACTGTTCCGCTCACTGGATTTACTTTGGATTTATAGAAATAACTATTTATCTGATTATTTTCAGTATCAAATAATAATGTGTTTGATATGTTTAACCTTTGATATGCTTAACCTTTGCCTCCGAAAGTCGTGTAAGTGACCACGGAAGAGCCCATATCTAAACCTGAGCTGTTTTCGACGAAACATTACACATTACATCAAATCAACTACCTCGGAGCTCAATTTTATTGATGAGAATAGATAAAAATATTCGATTGGAATAAACATTAATTTTTTATTGATACGACCGATCCGAGAATTATTAATAATCGTCATTTGCCCTTTCTTTTCTGAATATTTATACGCATCATGGTGGGATTTGAGAGTGGAATAGAAAACCAACTACAGAATCTACTTTAACAGCCAGTTTGTTATTAAATTTTACTACTCATTTAATAATACAATAATATTAGATTTTTTTAGTTCTACGCTCATGCAAAAATCTACATTAGAGTATATAGAGTTAAAGTCAATTTCGGATTCGATTTTATTCTTGGACTGTATTCATCAGTAAATAGTTGTTTCGTTATACACCTAAGTCTGTTTTTACACTGTTTTGTACACGGTTTTGATATAACACGGTTTGAAAATTTAATATTTTTAATTTTTTAGACGATTTTATTCCATTTAGTACGATTTGAAATTGTATGTACTTACATTTTTTTTGTCAAATTTAATTTTTGCGAAGTATGTTCATATCAAAGAAAGTATATATGATAGAAAAAAGTCTGAAACCATCTATAGCATCGATAGTTTGCGAACACTAGCTTAAATATTTAAGTGAATTCCCCTTTAGCGCGTACAAACAATTTTTACTGGTCAAAGCAAATGTGAATAGCACTAATTTATGTATAAGGTCAATGACTTTTTTACACGGCTTCTTCTGGAACCAATCTACCGTGTAAAAACAGACTTAGGTGTATATGGATCCGAGAATTCTTTGGCCCACCGTTTTATAAATCCGAAGACACCATAGGCTTTATTTATCATAGATATAACATGATTGTTAAAATTTAATTTAGGATCCATTAGAATAGCAAGATCTACGAAAGAATCTACAGTTGATAAAACCGAATCATTAATATCCAAGTAACTACAATTTAAGTTGCATCGTTGAAATAGGCTATTTAAATCATGCTGGAGTAAATCAGCTTGCTTTTCAGAATGATGGATAATGAACAACATGACATCATCTGCATACATTAGCAATTTGGAATGCGATACATAATTTGGCAAATCATTTACGAACAATAGAAATAGAATCGGGTCTATGTGACTTCCCTGCCGAATCAGAATATTAATCGATTTTAAAAGACATCCCTCAAAACTAGTTGTGTCCTATATTGTAAGTAAGATAATATCCAATCCATATCCAAAATAAAAGTTCATGGTTACCCCATCTAAAGTTTTACTGAAGTGTGTATAAATTGTATAAGTTTGTTTATGATGAACAAATCCCTTTATTGCAGTAGAAGTAAAGTGTATAAGATTAGTAATAGTTGAAAGACCACTGCGAAAATCATGTTGACGTGGTTTGAATTTTGTGTGAAAAGTAATTAACTTTTCGAACAAATTTGGTATAGCACTTAATTTTGCAATTCCTCTATAATTCGAGACATTTGTTAGACTACCAGACTTGTGTAAGGGTATTATATAAGATTTCTTCCAAAAAATAGGAACATAACCAAATTTAAGGGAATAATTAAATAATAACATTAGAGGTAATGATAACGTATCTGCACAAATCTTAAGAATTATGCCTGAACATTTAATAGGTTTTAAACTATAAAATAAATATTTAATCTAAATCTATATAATAAATATTTAATCTATATTTGATAGTTCATAAGGCTATGGATCTTTAATCTGATAAGTCGTATTGGATGTCGTATTCTGAAATTTCGGAGTTTTTCAAAAATTCTTGGTTATGGAATTTGAAATTTGTAGGCTTAGAAAAACCTTTATATGGATTATATTGCAAATATATGCTGATTATATATATCAAGCTACGATGAAGGAAGAATATACGAACAAGTGACGAAATTCTATATCATTTAAGGGAACCCCACCCATTCTCAATTTTAATTTTTCAAGATTTTCAAAGGGCTGGTAAATGAAAACAAATGCTTGTTAAGGTTTGTAACTTTGCACATATATAATTGAAGATTTAAAAGAGAAGAAAAATAATTTACAAAAAAATTTTGTTATTGTTTTTTGTAATTAAAGAAAATTCTTTATTTTTGATGGCGGGCATGATAATTCCTCACTGGAACATCGGAATCCGAAAATTCCAACGGTGTTAGAAAGAGTACATGTCTGGCTCTCGTATGAACTAGGATTATTGACTTCGCTCTAAAATTAACAAAATGGTGGACCTTTGAAAAAATATTTTTGGAAAATCGCCGATTTTTTACAAAAAACCATGTTAAAAAATAAGGAAGATCTTCGCCGATTGGCTTTATCCTAGTTCATACGAGAGCTATACACTCCCAGAGAAGCGTTGCAAAATTTGGAACCGATTGGATTATTAGTTTTTGAGTTATCGTGCTCGCCATTCGCAAAAAAAAATTTAGAGAAAAACGCATTTAAAGTTTGAGAAGCCCTTCAGCCGTCACTTGATGCTGACACAATAAATCGGCTATATCTTCAAGAGTTCTTGAGATTTTCACTTGAAATTTTGTAGATACATTCTTTAATCAGTGTAGATTCGAATTATATCAACAAAAATTTTGACCCCGAGAATGGGGGGGGGGTCCCCTTAAATGATTTAACTGGATGCATCAACTGCGATGAGGACACAACCAACCCTTTTACTAATCCGATCTTTTCTAAATATTTGATATTTTGAACTTGAACCAAGTTTAAAAAAATAAAGGAGTTAACTTTATATTTAACCCACTTACATTCTGATAGCAAATAGTGAGAAAATTATTTAGTTTTTTAAAACCGTTTCTGGTTTACACAAAAATTTAACAATTTTCAAAAAATAATATATAACTTGTTTAAAGCTGCTGAAGTGTATACTTATTTTTGTGATGTTATTTGGGCACTTAATTTAAGTTCAGTGTCTGGAGTGTAGGATAACGTTCAAAACAGTTTGAGGTGTACTTCTGAAATCACAGTTACATGGAGCAATGCTGATCTTTGTACAATATTTAGCATAGCCAACAATGTTCTTTTTCAAGTGCTGTCACCAAAAAAAGAAAACCATAGATTAGCTTTTCCACGACAGAGGGGTCTACGATCTGAAACGACCGAGTCTTTCTCGGCCAACGTCTGTCACCTCAGCAATAGGGCTGCTAAAACAACAACCATAGGTTCTGAATGGGCAGGGCGATCCCGCTATTTAAGCCTGGCAAAGATAACAGCAGAGGTGAATAGTACAGGCCGATTTCACTCCTGTCGTCAGCGCAAAGACACTTGAGAAGCAGTTTTCCAACATCAACATGGATGCACAGCACAACTATAGCATTACACGCCATATCCACACATATTAGCAGAGGACTTAACCAGAACAGGCTGTGCAACCGAACAGTTATGGTTGCACTTGATACATCAAAGGCCTTCGACACTGTCAACTGTTCGAAGATATAGAGAAGACAAGTCTCCGACTGTGTTTGAAACGTTGGATAATAAACTATATGTGTTGACGCCAGTCGTATGTGGAATTCAGAAACAGGAGTCTAAACCTCGTAGAGTGAAACAGTTCCCCAAGGAGGGGTCGTATCTACGGAACTGTATAACCTCTATTTTTCCGATATTACACAACCACCGGACTGCATAGAGATCGTAATGTATGCGGATGATTGTACGATCATGGCGTCGGGTCCAATTATTAATGACATATGTGAGAGGTTAAACTTCTACATGGCTGATTTCGTAAATTTCTTCCATCTGAGGAATATCGTCCATAAAATCAGCAGTCACACTGTACATTGCATGTACGGCAGAAATAAAGTTCACACTGAACATAATTATCGATGAAGAACTGATTCCGACCACTAACAATCCCAAGATACTGGGAGTAACGTTCGGCAAGTCGTCTGCGCAAGCCACTGCTTTATGCTACAAGCTGTAAGAAGTAGGACAAAGAAACCTTGTTGACCTCTTATGAAGCAATAAGCCGGTCAGTGGTAAGCTATGCGGCGCCAGTGTGGTTTGCGAATGTATGTGTTACGCAGTGGAAGAATATCCAGACCTGCCAAAATGCTGCCCTGAAAACTGCAACAGGGTGTCTCCTCCTGACTTCAGTGGTCCATCTTTATGAGGAGACGAAGATCCTACCCGTGATGTAGTACTTGCTTGGGTCTATCGTCAGGAAACCCCCTGTCGTAGTCTTATGGACAGGACTCCCCTACCCAAGCAAGTCAGGAAAGATCTTCATCATTTAGAGAGAAAGGTCCAAACTAAGACCAGGATGGTGCAACCGCCTCAATTCCTATTAGGCAAAAATTGGCGGCTCGATACCTAACACATGTCCTGAATGTGGACCACGACACTATGTACTTTTTGTCCAGCTAAGCCGACTCACCTATCGCCGCATTCGCTATAGACGCAACCCGTTGAAGTTGCAACACTACACAAATAATAACCCATCACATGTATTTGGTTGCTACAACAATCATAACCATAGGTTAGGAGTTACTCAATAATTTATTTATTTTTATTTAACAATTCCAAAGTCCGAAGACCACATTTAAGAAATGGACAATCGACAGGATATACTTATAACAACAATAAAACAAAATTAAATTAAATCTATATATGCTTGG